ATTGCATTATCCCTAATCCCTACTAATATTATAAAGGTGAATGGAATGTAAGTTTGTTACATTTTCACGCCAAAACTACTCAATCAATTATCATGAAACTTTGTACACATATTCTTTGAGGTATTAAAAAGGAGATAGGATTCTTTTTATCAAAAAAATAATAAATTTAACGTCTTCAACGCGAGCGAAGACGCGGGCGAAAAGCTGGTAGATCATAAAAATTAAATATAGTTAATAGTAGTGAAGATTTAACGCGCTTTCTAAATTTGAAATTATGATCCACAAGGCACATTGTGATCGCGTTCTATATCTCGGCGTGCATCTGACGTGCTGTGCAGAAGTGTTCCTATGCAGGAAGATCTGTTGCAACGGCGCGAGCCGACGCGAAACTGCTACACTACACTGGCCATTTAGGTTCGATGCATCGAGATTTGCTCACGATAAATGTATAATGCTCAGATAGGTGTGTTTCACAAACTTTGTTTGGTATATTTTGTTATCTTTCTTTTATGAAACCTATAGTTATAGCGATAGCTTTGAAAGCGACGGCAACTGAGCAGCGGTTGAAATGATGGTAACCGATGGTGACCGTGTGGATTGCTACCAATAGACATTCACTCACTCACATTGTCAGAGATGATTCAGGTGTGTTGCGAACCAATGAGTTTCCTTAATTTATGCCGTAATCTTTCTTTCTTTTTCTACTATTGAGTTTTCGCGCAGCATATATCGAAATGCAAACCTTTTGCTTCCATTGTAAATGAAAGTTTAATTGTATGTGCCACAGATATTAACTTTGTTTTACTCAACATTGATCAATCACAATTTGCAAATGGTGAAAATCGTACGCCATCTTTAAAGATTGTCCTTGATGCTGCTTAACCTGGATATCCTTTTTTTAGTCAATAGAAAAACCTTCATCTTTAATATAATTGCTATGTTCTAGTTATACGAGCTTAAAACTTGCTGCCAATGTAATTGGAAGATTCAAATTGAACTTTCGGGACACTCGCCTATCTAAGAAAGGATTAAACAATTTTTCGATATCATGTGGAACCAGCACTGTGGATACAAGTCAGACTAGTCCTTAAAGTTTTTTCCCAAAAGTGAGATATGAATGAGGTTCTTTCTTTAATATGGTATAACTTAATGTTGTGTATACGATAGTAAATACAAACCATAAGGCAGCGCACATTTCAATTTTACACGGCATCAATAACCAATATCAAAATTATTACTTAATATTCACCGTGTACGCGTACGGGTGGAATTCTAAAAACTCGACCCATTGAACGCTCGGTCCTTAATATTCTCTGTGTGTCCAGACTTTGATACGTGACCTGAACTCTTTCCTATTGTGGTGCGATATCACACGACAACGTCAAAAACAATGAATTCATGACCAACTTCCACCAGAGCGCGTGAGCCCCCAGAGCCCGTCGAACGGAATATTGAGCAACAGCAATATATTGGAGGTGCTTCGGCGTAAATACCCCGCATAGACTTACATCGAATATAATGTACCTAATTGAGCTTTAACAATGTAGTATTAAAAGTAAATCTCGGCGAAGGTCGCACAGTTCGGTAATTCACTTTCGTAATTCGCCACCGCCGTTTTCGTATTCGTTTACGGGTCACGTTATCTTTGCGGGAAGAGCCGATATTGGATATTGTTAATCATAAGCTTTTACAACAAATTCATCTTAATATTGTACATGAAGTAATATTTGGTAGTGAACATCGTTTGGTATCTAGGTACACTCGGTTGGAACCAAATTCATGTCGATTCACAATTATGTATAATTAATTATGTAATAAATTATAGGCATCGCTTTACAGGGTCAGGAACGTGAGTCGTGAAGCAGTCATGTAGAAGTTTCTGTATGGCTCTGTTTCTGCAAGACAACGCGCCCGCTTATACCACACATTGCAAACACAGATTATAAAGGACCCTCTATATATAAAGGATTTGCAAGAAATTGCGTCCTATGGTCCTGATCTAGCTATTATTATTTTTTCCCTTTGAACCACAGTATGATGAAAACGGCCGTAGGATCCCATTTAAAGATAAATCAAAATAACATTTTTTCAATGGCTCTATGCTCTGGTTTGAAAAACAGTATTTCACTCTGAGGAAATATATTGACAAATAAAAGAAACGATTATAGGACGATACTATTGTTTTCTTAAATAGTTTGCCGTTGCTCTAAGTTGCCTCTCGTAAGATATCTGTGACGTTTCGTATTCGTTTATTTTGGAAGACTGAATCTCTTCCAAGACGGGATATATCAATGGAAATTTAACACAACAAGATGATTTGGTAATAAAATGTTGTATATCAAATATCACACCGCATACAGAGTTCAAAATTAGCATCAAAAGCTTATAGACAAATAGCACATTAATAAATGGAGCAGCTACACAGTATGCGGCGCGTACGTTATTGAATATAGGTCGGGCGCTAGTTTCATTATGCCACAGACTGCGCGTAATGAAGGGAATCCGTGTGCTTGAGCGGGATCAAGGTGCGCTGATAATCCAATTAATTTGCACTGCAGCGGAGCCGCTGTTGCCGACAGACGGTTTAACTTAGTTTATGACTATGCTAGGCACCCTCTTAGCGCAACAAGTTTGTTGCGAACGTCTTGAGTGCTTCTAGATCGGTTAAGCCGTATGGTTCTGTGAAGTGCTACGGTGTATAGTTGAGAACGCTTTCAACAGTTAAGCCGAACAAAGGTTGTTTAAATTGTTGGCACGAACGCGATTCACGTGATTTTTTGGTTCGGCGTTTATATTTATTTCATTTACTAATTGTTTAACAAGACGAATTTTGATGTTTAAATATGTTGGAACATTATTCTGGCGGGTTATTTTTGTTATTATTACCACTAGATGACTACTACCGTCTGAAGTTTTATATTTTTGTTGTTCGCCTGGTGCGTTCGAAAACAGGAGCCCACTACTTTTAAAGATTTGTAGTGCATCTGCATCCCATCCATCCCCTGTAGTAGATGTCCACGGGCGGCGGTAATGACTTAACATCAGATGAACAATATTGATAATTATATGATAATTTTGAACAATATTGATGGCTGGTTTGTATGAATTATAGGACACTTGCTCAAAAGTTTGATCATCGCTGTAATGATCTTGTACGTTATACACCTCAGTAAATAAATGATAAATTAATGCTTACATACATAAAACCCATATTTTTATTTATCTGCAAAATAGTTTTAAACGATAAAGTGAGGCAATTAAACATGCGTGAAATAACCTTTTTCAATCATAATTACGAAAATTCTTATTTTTATTGTTACAATCGCTAATTTTGTACAAGACATAAGAGTAATATTAGACTAGAGATAAGAACAGACCCAATTGATAGTGCGGATGCGTGTCATAAAGGGCCATAAAATGATGGAGGCTGCTGCAATTAACACCGCCAACGGTTGTTTCCAGTTGCGAGACAATTGCCAACAATTCGCGCGAGTTCAATGACCAGCTGGTAATATATACTTGGACGAATCGTTCCGTACATTCTAAAACGTCCTATAAACTTTCTAAATCAACTATTATAGGCTAATAAATCGGGGCACGATTATTATTATTATTATTATTAAGTCTATTTATTTTGGCCGAAGACAAATGCAATCAGTGTCCAGGTACCCTTTAACTTATTCTCTATGGCTCGAGTCCAAATCTCACACAGTCTCTCCCGTGAACATGAATGAAATCTTGTAAAGCGAAACGTTGAGAAACTTTCTTACTCGTGGAAACCGTAAAATAGGTTTATTTGGCATTGCCACTTTGCCTTTACTCTTAATAGTGCATGGAGAAATAGATGTCTGATTAGATAATTTCTGACTCATGATTGAGATTTGTTACCTCTATACCTTGGAACATGCAAAACTTTAACAGCATAGTTAATTTTTTAGGCTAGTCACCACAAAGGCAGTATTTTTGCGTTTAATACGTGAGTTTTAATATCCATTGCATTCAAGCCGGGGGAATTTATTCCTACTTAGACGTCCATTTAAGGTCATAGACTATTAATTATTATATATTGTTCTGTCATTATGGCAGTTTACACAGTCATTGTCAACCGCAAACGATATAAGAGCGAGCAACGGGGCATTAGCATCAACATTTGGCGTACCAACTCAACAATGACACACCGTGACCCGCTAAGATTCCCACAGTAATTACCTGAACGGTTATTATAAATCAGCGCAATAATATCTCTCGACGGTATCGCGTATAATTGGATCGCAATGCGAGTTGGATCTATGCGGAAGCGGGGGGTGTCATCTCTCGTTACATTCTGCGTCCAATTCCGAGAACGGCATGGGAACAACGCGCGTAGGTGAGCTCGAATCGAATGCAGCGACAGAGGTATGGGCTAATGAGCCGACGACACCCCGAAACCGTCGAGATTCGGACACGAAGATCCGTTACGGGCGGCCGAGCACCGTTCGAAACGGCTAAAAACACACACGTTTGAGTTAATTAATGCTCGCGGAGACGATGGAATTGTATTTGCATTAATTATTACTCACACTTGTACTGTTAAGGTGACTTTATGGACTTAAAATGAAACTGACGTCAGCTTTGGTATTTCAATATAGACCTCATTAACGGCCTCTTGATTTAGTTGCGAAGAAGTATCTCGGTCGAACGGTGTACTTTTTTAATAACCCCAAATAAACGACGAAACAACCGCGTTCTCGCTAAACAACGGTGTTTGCCACTCACAAGACTTTATAACAACAGCGCATAACGTTTACACAAATGGTGAAACGACAGAAAAGAGGCGGAGCATTTGTCTTAGCGCGGACGGGTTAGGACAATAACGAAGCGCGGGAAACCGCTCAAAGGAGATGAGAGCGCGCAGAAAGAAAATAAAAAACAACAGCACAACACTTCCATTGAAATTAACCGAGCGAGGGGTTAAGCGAAAAAGTCGGGACAAAGGCGTCGGGGTCGGTCCGCTATTTAGTATGCATTCGGAAAGGAGCGGAGGCGGGAGCGGCGACTTCGAGCCGATTTGCATAGATTGCGTCTCGCCGGTGTTCGGTGATTTACACGGGCGCGGGCCACGTACGATAGCGGCGCAACGAACACCAACCGATTACGTAACTCCGGGTTGGCTGGCATTATTACGTCGAAGCGTGAGGGCCCATGCACATCTACGAGGCATGACGTCGTGGTATGGCGCCGAAGCAATTCACGGCTCGGTGCTGTGGAAAAATAGTTTATATTGCACCGTGCCGTGGAGAATGGATGGCCTTACGCGTTGCTTTTCAGGTTTGTTTTAAAAAGAAAACGGAACGGCCAATATAATATGTCCCACAGTGCCTTTACATATAATCGATATACTTTTTTTTTGTATTATTTCGAAAATATCCAGGTTTCCTCATGATATTTTCCCTCACCGCTGAGTGAGATTAGTCAGCACTTCTTTAACAAATACATTGGTGCCGGCACCGGGATATAAACTCAGGCTGCTCGAGTAAATTGAATTAAGAGAGAGCGCCCGGACACTAGAGCTATCACGGCAAGGGGTGTTGACCAGTCTAGATTCGAAAAAAACCTACGCGCCGCAAAGTTCATGCGCTACGATGGAGTCTATAGAAGTAGAACGATCTTTCTATACATTCACACATAACTTACTCAAGTGTCATTGTCAGTAATGTATTATGCTTAAAATTTGTAGAAAATATACTTAGTTTAAGTCTCAGTACACATATTAAATAGAGCTGAATCAGTAACATATTTGTACGGCATATTTTAACGTAGAAGGCAAACATTTTTCTTTTAGGGATGGTGGTGATGTTATAAATATTCAGTGATTGCCACTGCATTACTTCAGTTGGGGACCTCTACAATCTCTGCAACGCGAACGATTGCGTTTTCAATGTTTGAAGGGCGTTCTTCTTTCTTTCTTTCACTTCACGCCGGTTGCAATGAGGCCGTGGTACTGTTTCGGAAGAGCCTGCCGATTAGTGCAACAGTAGAAGCTGCCGATTGTGCCTACCGCAATAGGTTTTTTTTTAAAGTTAGGGTGTTCAAAACCGAAGGGATGATACCACGTGGTTATATCGGAATACGTCCAAATATAATTCGTTCCTTTAATTTTTTTAATTAAAAAACTGGCCAGCACGATACTGCCAACCCACCTGATAGAAGTGGCGATGCGGCCGTTATTCCTCGTTATATACGCATGAACAAGTTAACGTAAGATTTACGTGTATGCGTAATAATGTTCCGATGAGTACCCATAAAATGGCGACGTACAAAAACGACAATTCAATACTCGTACCTCTCTAACACTCAAGCAGGGCCTTGGAACATATTGAACGTGCGCTCAATCGAAATATAATTACCGGTGCACATTTCACGCGACCCCATGTCAAGGCGACAGTTTTATAACTTTTATAATTATCCCTGGTTTAATATCAAATTTTTAATACTCATTTCATGTCACGTTTGTGCTCCCCGTTTGCGAGGAATTATCCCTCGACATTATTATATTGTGTTTTATTTTTATTAATCTATGACTTCACACCGCTGTAAATAAATATTTCAAATACGGATTTTTTATTGCGAAATATTTTGCATGTCTACATACTAGATGACGTGCTGCAGATTCACTTGTAGAGAAGTCTTAACTTCAGTAACCGTTTAAAAATTAAGGGCATATGAGTGTTTAATACATTAAGCATTTTCATCATGTAATGGCAGTCAATAAAATTGACATTTGGTAATAGTGCCAACTTTTCAGCTTTTTCTTCAGATTCGATTTATAATATTGAAATAACTAAATGAAGACACATTTGTTCTAATAAATAAGGCTTAAATGATCCTTTGTTTCATAGAGCTTATATTATGTACACGATTTCATAGTTTTTGATATTACCACCACACTAATTACAGATACTAATAATTATAAAAAATGTATTCGTATTGTAAGCATATGTAGCAACATTGTCGTACAAATAATAACTGCAGAGCGATTGTCTTCAAACGGATTAAAGCCCTCGCCGTACGAGGGCTCGACGACATTCATCTCGGCTTACAGCGACGCTACAATTAAGCCCAACAATACGCGGTATCCCGTCGCGGTTTACACTAAACGGCCTCACGAGCTTTGCTCCCGTACGTGGATCCATTCAGGGGCCGCCCGGAGGGCGCACAATGGGCCGATGAGCCGCGAGGGTTCCGTCGCGCTTAAATTGCACTAATTTACGGCGGCAAAGCGAGCGGCACGCGCGAAATGTCGCCGCCGACGATTAGCGGAATTCCAAAACAGACGGCATAAAGCGTACGCGCCAAAAAACGGTAACCTCGCAACGGACATGTCGTGGACGGGTCGTACATGCCGATACTCCTTGTACGCGCGACGCCGACTGCGCATCAGCAGTCCGCCGAGATAATGATCGCCGCTTTTTACCGTCTCTATTAAATAGCATTCACGTATCGCCTACCGTATCGCTGCATCGTCCGACAATAAATATATATATATATATCGAAAATGTTTATCAACTGTTCGGAGATCGTTTTTAACGGCGAAAATAAAAAAAAAGTCATTCCAGCAAACGAGGGCAGTCAACGAACGTAAGGTATCACGTAAAAGTTGTTAATTAAAAAGACATTTAAAATCGGTTCAACACACATCGCAATTACAAGGTTGGATGCCCAAATTGAGTAAAAAAAGTCTGTTGACAATTTAGTTTTAACAGCCAATTTAACGTGTTCCGAGTTCGAATGTAAAAAGGATTATTATTAGGTACTTAATACAATTGGACAAAAAAGTTGCCACGCGCATTGCACGGGATCGTGCTCGTTTTTGAATTGACCACGCTAACGGCGCGTTAATGTTGGCTGTAATTAAAAAAAAAACTCGTCTGCGACAGCGCGCAGACGACGGACCGCGCTAGTTGCAACACAATCAGCGAGCGGCAACACTCACTATGCGGGTTATTATGGGCGGTTGCGTTCATAAACAATTGCAACTATAAATACTACTTACACGTTTGCATAACTCCGGTGAGTTTTTATATATATAGATTATCGTAATGAATGCAGAAATTGACGGTTTTACAACGAAAAAAAAAAGCAGGCCGCAGTCGCATGCTTGACTCTGGCTGACGATCGTTGTTTATTACGCATGGAAAGTAGTTTATGATATTTGGCTGCTATTATAATAGGTATTTGTTACACGGTCTTCAAATACATTTCAGAAACCAAATCCAGTAACTTGCATTGGAAACTTTTTCAATCAAATCAAAATCGTCAATTAAGTTTACCTTTAACATGTTTGTAATATGTATATATGTATGTATATATTTCAATCAAATCAAAATCGTCAATTAAGTTTACCTTTAACATGTTTGTAATATGTATATATTATATATACTCACAACTGCAATACAGCTGGACATTCAAAGTTAACGAATATATCAGACTAGCTGTTCCGTGCGAAGTCATCCGCGAGAATCGTTTCTGATTCGCCCCCGTCGGTCGTAGCGTAATGTTAAATTCCGTGAGGAAGTAGAATTCGATGACTCGTGAGAAGGAAAAATTTCGATATATATATATATATATATTCAGGGAATGAAAAATATCATTAGAATGTAACGGTAAATTGCGTCGAAAAAAAATTTTTTTAAACCTTTTAATAACTCGGTCGGTAATCGGGCGACCCCGAAACAGAAGGCCGCGGTTCGTGTCACGATCATTTGCATACTAATTATTTTTTTTACTTTTTTTTCTATACCAGATCATTGCTTTCTTTATTTTTTTTTATTTCCATAATACACGATTTACCAAAAAAAAAACCGGTCCTCCAGATACTGATACTTAACCCAGTAACTCATGGTTATATCACGAAATAGAGTATTTAGCATCTCACAAACAGACAAAGTATGTTGTCAAGTTGCTTATAGTATTCATTAGTAGTACAAATTTAAAACAACAGTACAAACTTTCACGTCACTGGAAAATCCATAGTAGGCAATTATATATGTACTAACGGATAATTCTCTTACAAAGTAACGTAAAAGCTGGCCTAGAGGAGGGCAAGCAACTATATACTTATTGATATACATATATTCCCATTTATCGTCACTCGTCACATATGCCCTATAACTGGAGTTTTTGCATCGCCACGAATATTGTGAAAGCCGTCACGTGAGGCACTTGACGAATTCTTTTTTAAAAAGTAATTTAGGACGTTTTGCACCTATTTAAAAAATATTAAAAATTTACAAATAAGGCTGATTAAGTACCTAGTGACCAAAAAAGTTAAAGATAATTGTGAACAGGACTATAATAAATTATTTCCTATTTGTAAAATACTGCCTGTAGACAAAAAAATCGAATACTTAATAGGCATACGTCACTACTATAGTAATGATTATAAAAGATATGTTAATAATAAATATGATACAAGAAGTGTAAAATGTAAAATGCTTGTTAAACCGAGAATGAATAATTATTATTATAGGGAAAGATTATCAAAATTTCTAATACCTAAGATATTTAATAAATTTGAACTTTTGAGAGGGAGTCCGCAACTCAGTAAAAATGTGTTGAAGTCAAAACTTAAACAGTTGTTTCTTGATGAATTATCATTGGAGTAGTAGTTATTTATAACAGAAGTTTATCATTGTTTTAATTAGTGCCTGTGTTGGTTATAATTATAGTGTAAAGAAATACTTAATAAATGTGTATAATTAATATTATAAGTCAATTAGTAGTATACTTAGAAGATATTATGTTGAAAATCGAGCGTGTCTCGCCATCAAACGTAAAAGTTTGGCGAGAATAGCTATGTAAGCCTATTCTTTGTATATTTTTTGTGATTAATAAATTAAAAAAAAAAAAATGTCGTCCAAAATGGCAATTATTTCGATAATTCCAATTTGAACATTATTAGTGTTGGTAAACGATTTTCTTCCATAGATTTTCCTTACATTTCAAGAGTTTGTATCATACAATTCATCTTCGCGCGAGTCATGAGTGTAAATAGTGACGTCACACGGTGTGCCTGCACGGTTGACGTCGAAAGTACACACAGGCGGCGTTGTAAGCTGCCTTGTTTGCACACGCTTCTTTACGGTAGAAATAACGTAGAGCGTGCAAACATCCAAGTTTTATTAATTCGATAGTGTTATAGAAAAAATATCACCGCGTTTTGTTAAAAAAATTATGTTTAAGGTTAGTATGTAGGAAAACTTCTTCGTCCTCTTGTTTCATTATCCAGCTACTGAGTAAATCTACAACGGATCACTTTAGGCGCTTTGACCGGAGAGTCGAACTCGCAACCGGCCAACCATTACGTACGAGCGCCGCGTACACGCGAGTCAAGAAACATTTTCAGTTATCACGCTTTGAGATCAGAAGTTTCGATTAAAATAATTTTTGAAATGCACACCGTCCCTTTAAAAATCGCGAAACCGAATCGATGCATGCAAGAAATCTATTAAAGTGACATTAACTCATCAAGAATAAACGAAGCCAAGCAAGTAACCCGCAACTCTCATTCTAATTGTATCCGCTTGTAACAATAACATATTATCCAATTATGGGAGGTAGCATTACTTGTAATACAACAAGGATAAACTTAATAAAATAGGTAACGTTCAACGGTGGACGAAGACATAGGCTAAGCGGGAAAAAATCATTTCGCCTTACATAGAATATATTATGATGAGATAGGAATATAATATATTGGCTAGTTAATTTTCTTCCTATTTGCCGGAAAATGGAGGCTTACACAAAGTGAAATACGCAGAACTATTATTATTAATTATTTTCTGTTAATAAATTTTTACTTTTTTAATAAACCTGTTTTGTTAAACAACGACTATAATTTTCTTAAAAAATGAATATAAAGTGTTAGTCTAAACATGTCTAAAATCGAATCCGTCAAATGCCGTGGCATGGACAGTTGGCGATGAGCACCAAGTCATTACTAACTATCGTTTTATGTACACAGAAGCACTACATTTTTTGTGTTTATAGTCGTTAGTAAGTTTTTTTTTTGTTTTTTATGCTGAAGAGTCCTTAACTATTATCCCATCTGATGATAATCAGCGATTAAATTTTGCGTGGTGAACATAGTAGATACAAGAAAATTCACTATTGCCGTATATTCTATTTGTAGAGCATAATTGACAATCACAGGCAGGATTGACGCCGATAAAGAAAACACGCCCCGTTTTATAATTATTAACGAAGGGCGAATATAAAACGATGGTTATAATTGTACCTGGGCGATGCTTTTTAGTGGGCGGGGTCCTTCGAAGAAATACAAGGGCTTACAGAAAACTAGAATGAAGTTTTACTGTGGTAGGGCCAATAGTCGGGGCACATTTTATTAAAAAGGCCCATTTTATTAATGGGCGGTGAATATCACTTTAAATTAGGTGACCTGTCAGCTCGTTTACCACCTTTTCACATAAAAAAGTAGCATTGTAATACTTTGGCGTTTGGTCAGGTGAGTTATGTACCCGAGACCCTGCCACTACATCCATGGGTGGCGGCAAGTTCAAGTGAATCGCCTGCTTGCTTGCCAATTTTTCACATAAAAAATACGAAGTTCAAGTACAGTCATTCTTAATAACTATCAAAACATACAGATACCAAAAAAAGTTTTCATTAATCCAAATCTTAAACCAAGTGCAGGATTCGGAGCCACGGATTTTCCAGTGTTAAACATAGCCTTCTTCAAAATATGTCATCCTAAAAATATCAGCTAAATAGTATATTTAATATTTTTCCAATAACCTATTAATTGATACTCCCTCTTTATTCTATTGCTCGCATTGGCTATATCAGTTAAGGCGTTTATAGATCTATTAGAGAAAGAGGAAACATCGTTTGAAGCCCACAGCAATTGAACCACATCGTTGGAGACCACCGAAACGTCGTTTCGCCCGCGGGGGCGGTACAGGCCCCGTCATTCTGTCGGCGCCTCAGCGTTCGCGTGTAACTGTGAAGGCGTCGAAGTCGCCGTCGGTCACGGGCACTGTGCCAACGGCGTCGGTGCGTTTCCCGCGCCCAACACCGCCGACTTGTCACTCGGCGCTTAATTTTTTTTTTTTTAATATTTGTAAAAAGAATGTGTTCTTTTTACACAACGTTCTCTAGTCCCAAACTAAGCAATGCTTGTACTGTGGGTACTAGAAAACTGATAGACATACTTAAACATACTTTTCTTTTGTAAATAAATACACATTATACATATATGAACACGCAGACACTAGAAAAACACTATGCTCATCACACAATATTTTTCCAGTAGTGGTCGTACCTACACCCTCTGGCGCAGAAGGCAGGTACACTACCGACTACGCCATTCGGGTCGTCATCTTACGCTAATAATATTTGAAGTGTCGGAAACCCTAACCGAAAGAGATATACCGGAAAAAACTTGCATGGCTACGAATAAGCTCTAAGACATCGACGGATGTTTTTCTTTCATGAGATTATTTATGTCGCTATGTATGTGATTTGATGCAAGTAAAATAGAAAACTTAACCCCAATCACGTCTATTAATCCGTAGTAAAGCATTGCAGCTGTGGTTAACAAAAGGTGACAAAAGCAATAAGTTAATATTAGATGTTGTACAGAGCATATAATTAGAAATTGTATCAGTCGTTTCATGATAGTAATGTAAAATCTACGCTTGAGGAAGTAGGGCAAACCGAACATGACGCGGGCGTAATTTACCTTGCGTTGCACGAATAATATTTCCATTTATATATACGAATGGTCGAAATTCGACCATAATTAATTTTACATGGATTTTTTTATTGATTTAATGTACTTTATATGCGAAATTAAAAAAAAAAATATTATCACTACGTCCGCGCAATTTCCGTAAAAAGTATTAATTTATACAGATAGATATATATCGCAATTTAAAAAGGATCCTTTTCGGTCCTGCGGACTCTATTTTTTTATGGTAGAGCCATGTTCCAGATTGATAAGTTAGTCATAATCAATGCCCACAAATAATTTCAAATAATAATTAGCCAGTGAATAACAAACCTCAATGAGGCAACGCTAAACAAAGTGCTAACAGATGTAGCATTGCTTCCATTTAAAGTTACGACTCGTAACACGAGCTTTTGTGGATACACAAACAAGTTTTCGGAACGGGTTCTATTTGAGCTCTACGAGCTGTAAAAAAAAGAGACCTCGATGCTCGCGTCGATTAATTGAATGTTGATTTGGACGCAATCAGAACCGGCGTAATGGTCCCGTTTAAGACAACTCGTCGGGGTATGTGCCGGGATTAGGAGGACGCGACGTAAACGTGTAGAGGGTGCAGGCGTCCGACTTGTCAGACGAGAAGTTTTTATCGGGCCGCCCTTCGGCGTTGTATAGAAATGGGCCCTGAATAATGCATGTGGACCCGCGCGGACCCCCAACGACACTTGACTTGCCGCCGATGCTGTGGCCCGGCGAAAGGTTCCGAACGATACCGTTGCGTGGGCAATCGACCGAAAATGAGGAAAAAACGCAACGCACAGCAATGAGCTAATGACATTCATTAAGGGGTGCTGAATGTAGACCACGCGAGGGGACATATCATTGATCTGATTGATTGAGGTGGTAAATTAAGGCGCTGTTATTATCTTTGAGGTATGTATGAGTATATACGTATATACATATGTATGAGTATATATATATATATATATATATATATATATATATATTAAACAGGTTTTAGATTTTTAATTAACAGCAAAGTTTAATCTCATTAATATTGTATTTATTTTGTTTAATACGTAGTCTTCAATCAAGAAATAATTACAAATATAAGGTAAAAATAAGCAATTACAAGAAACTGAAGCCAGTCTCTTTAAGTCATTAATTGAGGTTTTATTTTTTTGTCAACACAGCCTGGTGAAGGGGACTAATTTGTGTTATTTTCATTTTATATCTCTGGCCTTTCACTTGTAATATTGCCGGTAATTTAATAAATAATTATGAAATTAAATGTACCGTATTAAAGAAATATCCTATACCAATGAGAGTAATGTACAAAGTTTCGGTGTACATTCCTAACTTAGCATTACAAGGCAATAAAAAAATAGTCAATGATTGTTATGTTTATTGTTGACTAAAAAACGCCTTACATAAATGTAACACAAAGATTTTTTGTTTATATGCATAAATATATATAAAGTAATAATGCCTAAGTGTTCTGATGTGTGTAGGGTCTATGAAATAACAAAAAGATCACTAGAATTACCCTTTAGGTAAGGGATTACTTTAAATCTTGAGTTCTATGTATATTGATCACCAGGCGAGTACTTGAAGCTTTGACCATTCAGCTTGTCACTTGTCAGACGTACGTAATATATACTTTTGATACTTATCTCGCCTCGTCCCAACCTCTATCCCAAACCTCTCCGGGGTGCGCTACCTGACTCAAATATTTTGATTAAGCCTCGACTTTGCGTGGTAGGTTCAAACATACCATTTGTTATTTTAATTGATAACGGCGAAATGAACTGTCTTGGTTTCGTAATCCGGCAATTCTGCATACGAAATAATGTCAACAATTATAAAATCATTAAAGACCGTTTCAGCGAATTTAAATTAATATAATAATAAAAAATTATAATTCACATTTAATCATATAATTCACTATCGCAAAAAAAAAACATAAACATTCTCTAAGCAACTGTTTGCCATTTGCTATATTATACATAAAAATGTCGATGTAACTTTAAATCATCACCTATTACAGTACTATGTAAGCCTTTACTTACGTTGAAAGTAGAATGACAATGTATAGGTTGTTTACGACGTGATTTAGTTACATGTTTCAATTATTTCATTCTATAGTTTTATTATAATCTCTTGTTCCTCTTTACCTGCTGCTGGAATAATTTTGAAGTTCAAGTTAAATGAGAAATAATGTTAATAATACTCATAAATATATGATTCAATACTTAATAATGTAGGTACTTTATTATGGTAGCTAAAATATCAGCTATCGATATAGATATTTTTTGGGTGATTTTATTTAATGTCAGAAAATAATTAATTATAATGCTATATGAATGTAAAACATTAAAGTGGCAAAGCCAGATGACAGTCATCCCTGTTTTACAAAGGGGCAGGTCCGTCCGGATAACACGACCTCAAAGAAGTGGGAGTGTTCTGGTGAATTTAGGTTATGGTTAGGTAACTGGTGAATGAGGTAGCCGGGATGAAGTGTTTTAAGTTAGCAACGCATCTGCAACGCATTATTAAGTTGGCAACGCATCTGGAACCCTACGGGTGTTGCAAACGTCAATGGGCGGCAGTGATCACTAAACATCAGGTGAAGCGCCACCTTCTCACATCAGTTTCACAAGTCAGCTTTAATGAATTCCATGATAGCTTCTTCCCACTACCTTTCATTTCTCCTAAAGCGTACATTTATAGTGTTAATTAATTCTATTTCATATTAACCTTGTAATCGGAAAAATCCGACTTAGGGAAAAGAAAAGAGATAATTTGCTTGAACGGACGCTAAGGTTGAGTTGATGTCGCGAGCTATCTTCGAGCGGCGGGGCTACATACGGAAGGGCCTTCCATTGTTATCTCTTTCATAAAAAAAAGTTGTATTGAAAGATTGTAATCAATCAGGTGGTACGCTTGCGGCTTCGCTGTGCCTATTCTAATTTACCTACGAGTCGCTAATGCTTCACCAAGTACATGATTAAGGTCGAGCCACGCGATCAGATCGGAAACAGAGAATTTTATTTTTATACTGTCCGCTAATTTAATTGTATAATGAAGAGCAGTATGTTAATGGTCAACATTCAATGGTTTATTTTATTTACGCGAATAATATACAGTGTTAGATAAAACAATATTAAGCATTTCTTGACGATTTATTTCATGAATAATAATAATGAAGCTGGTAATGACTATCCGTAGCCTGTTTTTATTGAGACAGAATGCCTTTTTGAGTTTCGCTTATATGAACATAAGTTTACAAATAAACGTTCAAAAATAAAGTAGTGGAAGTGGACATTTTAAGTTATTACAACGTTGCACAATGCACCTTCACTATTTTAATTACATGAAATATAATATAAGGTTTAGGAAAATTCTACATTATTTACTCTCAAGTCCTCCAACTGATTAATCGGGGACCAAGTATTGGCTTTGTGGTATAGCCGGCGCGTATTTATTATTTTTATTTTATGTGAAAAGTTGCCAAACCGAATACCGCCACCCATGGACATCTGCTACACCCGAGGGTTTGCAGATGCGTTGACAACCTTTTTGGAAATTGGGCTCCGGCCACCTCTCTCACCAGACGAAACGCGAAAGTATTATACTTCCACTTTACGCTGGTCTTCTGTGAGGTCGTGGTACTTACCCGGATGAGCCTGCCCATTCATGCAACAGCCGAGGCTGCTGCGTGGCGCTACCACTGTAAGATTTATTATTATTCAATTATCCGTTATTTCAAAAATTGTAAAGTTTCAATTATTATTCTGTGGCATCTTTATTTATAAAATTGTGTAGAGGACGAAAAGTTTTGTTGGCTGCATAGATTTGGATAACCGGAAACAGTGCCTTATTTATAATACCTATGTACTTTTTTATGTGAAACGTTGACAAGCGAGTAGGCAGTTCACCAAATGCTAAGTAATAAACGTCGCCCCAAGGAAATCTACAATTTTAGGTTGTAGATGCCTTGCAAATCATTAAAGAAGTGGGCCTCGGTTACCTCATATAGCAGACGAAACGCGAAATTCTAATACTTCCACTTCACGCTGGTCTTCTGCAAGCCGTGCACAGGCCTACCCATTCGTGCAACTGCCGATGCTGCTGCTAGAACCACGCAAACAGCTAACCTTTGTAATAAACAGCTAACCTCTGAGATCCTATTATAATCGGCAAAACGCCTACATAGTAGTCCCGGTCTAGTAACAATCTTTAAGTTTTTGTTCTTTCCAAGAGATGATGTATGCAAGGACTTTGATGAGTAAAAAGGAGTTACAATGCTTAGTCGGTGATCAGAGCATCAAAAATGTATATTTAACCTTTTATAACATAAATCTACACACAGAATATTTGATTTCAAACCACGAGGAGAATACCCCACATTGGAATTGGATTAACTACTTTGTAGTGATAAATTTTTACGCTTTTCATCGATAAATTAGCAAACGATCAGGCATCTGTTGTTATGGGATTGCAGCAACGAGTTGATTTCCATACCAGCGGGACGAAAGTTGTAGTGCCAATCCTAGAGGGTGGAATAGTTATCTGACTTAATTAAAAAAAGTGTTATTAGTTTTACTTTTTGCGAGCCAGTCCTAAGTGCTACAATAGAGGCTTATATGTGGCTCTAAATCAAATTGTTTACAAGCTAAGCGAAATAAAAAGTAATAATTAAAGTGTTTCCGCATGCTCACAACTATTTATAACCTCTCAAATTATAATGCGACCTTGGGAAATTTTAAAATTGTCACACACGTTAAGTTTTAGTTCGGCGCACGGCGATCGCTGTGCGCGGAATATTCTAGACGTTCCTCAAGTATAAATAAAAAAATTGGGACTGGACAGCCGAATTTTCATCGGCGGAGCAATTAAACGATATAAACCGTATTTGCATAAAGGTCTCGCTACAAGAGAACGGATCTATCGGGATTGCAATGAGACTCGTGCTGTGCACTGTCGCAACAATGCGTTTACGACAACGATATAGAGCTCTATAAATCTTTAAAGGCCAATTAAATATCAACAAATACACATCACGACTACATTTTGCTGCTATTTAATCGCGTCATAGGACGGCCTATGCAAGCATTTCTGACGGGATCCAAAAAAGCATAATGTAATTTTAGTTTTACAAACAAAATTTAATATAGATATTATTATTCACGGCCTTACGAACATAGAAAGAGTTACCTAAGATGTTGAATATTGTAAACACCCCAAGACATATTATCGTTTCCAATTGAAATTGGAACTTATTTATTCGTGTCCGATTCTGAAGCGATATCATGAATCTTGAACAAAACAATTCAAGCAAATACCGTAAGTATTCGCTAGAATTCAATTTATCTGATAAACATAAGACAGCCACTATTGACTTAGCAAATACAAATGAATAACAACGGTAAGATTTAATGACAAATAGACACTTGTAAAAGGGACAACATACGGCGCCTTCTTTTGTGTTTTAAAATGACATAACGTTAATGATACAACGGGGGAGCAGATAAGTAGAGGAACATTCGTAGAATAGATAAAAACAAGTCGTCGAAATTATCTTTAAACAGGCAGCGCATAGAAAAGAATCCTGTTTAAGACTAAAGAGGCCTTATTGTCGGGCTCCATTTTCGAAGCTATGTAAACAAAACCGCGGAAGCAACAATGAAGCCTTAACGAACGGCGGTGTGTACATCGCCTTTGTTGAACAACAAAGTCCATAATCACATTATAAATGAGTTGATACGGCGGAGGGGGCATTGTGTAGTTCATTTTAACTATTGCCTTAGCTAGTCCTCGCGAGCTGGGATTGAGGCGTAGGAAAAAGCTATCTAGTCCGGAGCGGAGCGCATAATGAGTGCGGCCCACGCGGCGATGAATCATGCCCGACTCGACCGTTGCCGCAACGCTCGCAAGCGCGGCAAAAACATTACCCACTTTTGAATAAGTTCCCTTTCTCTTTCTACACCTCCGAGGTGCATGCTCCGACCCATTCATTGTTTTACATTGACATATATTCTACCAATTTACATTCGAATAATAGATAAAATAAATCGTCAAAATTATCCTGTGCGTAGTACATACACAAAGCATTATACCAAAGTGCGTTTGTGTTCATAAATTCCATACGTCGTTATTATTTCAAAGGATGAAAAGCTTTATAAAAAGAGTTTAAAACACTGTCCGAATTTACGATGCGAAATGTTTCCCATTTTTCGTTTTGCTCTAAACGAAAACAACGGGGAACGGCGCATGAACGTTTAAAGTGCCGTAAATACGCGATGACAAATAAAATGTCCTTTCACCTGCGACGCGAGGTGCTTTTTGCTTCGAATGAAAACTGACTCTTTAATTTGCGTGGAAGCTGCAATTTCATTGTTTTGTGTATTTGGAGAGATTTGATAGCCGAAACGGAAAACGTTTCGGTTATATGATCTTAGAATGCTTTTGCATCGAGACAGAGAAAGTGAAGCGATCTGCACTCTAAACGTTGGGTAAACCTCGATACATTGTATACATAGGTATCCTTGACCACAATTATACTGCAAATGAGTCAATTAAAAAGTACACACTATTGCGAATATCGAAAGCTGTTCTGACGAAGATTGCAACACGACATTGCCAACTAAAGTAACTAGTCGTAAACACCTGTCCTTTATAAAATCGAATGTGCATAAAGTACCTTCGAAGATTTCGTAACTTTTCTCTCGGATATAATTCACTTATTAATTTGGACATTAATATATTGTCGCGGAGCAATGATTGCAGTCGAGGCGTGACAGAGTTGAACGAGTGACCATGAAGTGCGTAGTTGCCAGCCGCTTGCTATGATACGTTAAAATGGTGACTCATGGCGCGAGAGGGACTATTGCAACGTTCGTACGAGAGAGGGGGACGGAAGAACGGAGGAAACCGGTTCGAGATTTCGAGTTTCAATCCGATATGCTCCTGTCTGTAGCGAGTCAACTTCGCTTGAGTAGCTTTGAACTCAAGAAAGTAGATCATTGCTTCGTTTCGTTTTGTTTCTTGGGTGTTGCTCTGTCATTTGGCGCTTACTTCAACGACTGCTTTCACTAATTTTTTATGTATTAGCTAAATTATTATGTTTTTATCTTATCAGCTGTGATAAAGGTTACCTACTGAACAATTCTTTATCATGAGGCGGCCTGAGCAGAGGTGATGTCATCGGTTCTTTAGCTCTATTATCTGGAAGCTGATAAGGCGCCGGTTAGGAATGTTCTATGAATTGAAAGGTTTGCAGACGTGCACTCCGTGAGTTTACGTCTAGCTATGTGAACTTGGACCTATACAAGTTGTCACAGGGGTTTATCTATTTAGGGGTGTATCTTTACATTGAATATGCGACCAGTAAACAAACAGCGGTGAAAATAACAAATGTATTTTCTAAGAAATGACATAAAATCAGCACTACGTAAAACTAGGCGCGACGCACCCCAACTTAATAAACCCTCTCAACTGAATAGTCGCGGTAAGAATCTTATGATTATAACAATATAGTATTTATCGTCCATTGTTCAAACCAACGGCGTTGACGAAATTAATGTACTTGCATGCGCGTGACATTATTCAAACAGGCGTACATACTGTGACGAATATTCTCCATTTACATACGCATTGAAAATTCAATTCTAAAAGAACCTACGTACAAAACTAATCTTTAGCGATATTACGGTGTTTCACAACACAATGGCGGATTTGAAGATTAATTGTAATAAAGTAATATATTTAAAGTTAATGGAGGCCATTCTTATAAAGTACACATATTAAATGTCTCAATAAGCTATGAAAAGTAGCTTAATCATAAAATAATCATCAACTGAGTCCATAAAACAAATAATGTGATTAACGCGTAGAATTCAAATTATTATACTATCGTAAAGCTTCTGTTTTTGGAAGGAACGGCCGATTCGTCCAAAATATTACCACAGAAGACCGGAGTAAGATGCGACACCCAAAACTATAAAGGTTTGACAGACACATACAACTGAACCTGTGTATATATGGCCTTTTTATATTTCACTTTACTCACTTCGCGGACTTTAGGAACTTTACTGCAACATGTTTACACGTGTGAGACTAACTTCTCTCACGCTACGAGAGCAAAAACTCGCGCCAAGATCGTAGAGACGCGTCGAGATCGCTGAAGAAAGTCTCCGAAGATTACAGGAATTTTCCAAGTGGAAACGGTCGCGTCTCGCTGGACCGTTGTACGTCTTTTTTTTTTATCACCAACAGACCGACCGAGCGCTCGGCCGCGGTGAAAACGTCGTCCGCCGTTGATCATCTTTTCGTTAACGCATCGAACGTAAGTTTGACGTTGGACTGTTGTACTTACGTCAGTGATGGTTAAACAGTTAGTTATATGCGCATTACGCAATTGCGCGTTCAATTTTTTTTTTGTTTATTTAGGCGAACACTGTATGGTGGTTAAATGGAATCCTTTTACGGATTTTATCGCGTTTTATTTTGACATTAAAATCCCGACATTTCGAAAACTATATTTTGCAACGGCACATCTGTGGATTTGCTTTTGTTTTTGTCGATTTTATTTTGTACACACAGCTAACTCTGTCTAGAAATTTCCTCGTGGAATTTAGCTAACTAATATAACAATAAAAAAATCAAATTGAGAAAATTTAATTTTTCGAGATTGAGGCAAATCTTTGGGATCGTGAACGTATCTCTAGTAATTGTATGTCGACTTAACAAAACAGTTAATATGGAAAACGGACACGGATACAAAATTTTAAAGATTGTCATATTTTCACAGTTTAAAGTTTGTTATCGCTATCAAAGTATAAAAAGAAGTCTTTTTATTACTCGGATGGCTCATTTGCATTATACTATGCACACTGAGCCCGGGGATCGTCGGGTCGATTACCAAGTAATTGTATGACCTACAGATATTTAAATTGTTTATAGTGCTAATCTTTGCACATAAAGCAAACTTTTTCTACATATTTTAATGACCTACAGATATTTATTCCGGATAAGGTGAGTGTGCATGTTTAACTTGTGTTTGGAAAAAAGTCTGCAAGCAATGCAAAACAGGACTTTTTAACGTTGAAAAAAAAAAATTAGCACTTATCATTGTACAATAACGGCACTTCTGATGAAACAACAATCCCGAAATTAAATGTATTGCCAAGGTTTACAATGATTACAAACAATATATTTCGTAAAAAGAAAATGGAAATAGAAGAAAACGTATTTATTCATAAATGTATATTTCTTCATACTTAGTTGAGTATGTTAAATGTAAGTAAAGTAAAAATAGATAGTTTTATTGGTTAAATTTTATAATACAGAAAGGTAAAATACATAGTATTTGCTTCATAAATTAACACTAAAATACAATGCAAGCAGTGGTTTCGATGCTCGAAGGGTTTTATCGGTCCAATTACAAAATTTAATTACTCAATAACGGAAACAATAAATGTCGCCTCATACAGTATTAAAAAAAAATAAATAAAAAATAATGATAATCGAAACCGTTGGAGCGTGGCAGAATTTATCAACGTACGTCTCTGTTAGGAGTAAACAAAAAGAAAACTGTTCACAAACGAAATCATTCGAGAGCCTATCGCGTGAGGACGGGGAGAGACAATAGGCTAAAAGCGAATGGGATTCACGGTGTAATAGAGACGGCTCATAAGTCTATCTCGGGCCTGCTGCCCGTAGCACGGAACTGCTGTTGCGACAGTCGGGAAACCGGTTCCTCCACCCTACCGATTTGGCGCCGACGCTCGGGGCTGCCGTCCGCGTGGCCCGTTACTAGAGCCATCTTATTGCTTTCTCTAATTGTCACCTCTTAATTCGAGCGCCCCTTATCAGATAGTCCGGCCCGTTGCGCGCCCGGACATCACTGATAAGCGTTACGTAAAGGGGCGACGTGTAAGGAAAATCCATTGGCGCAAATCGTTGCGCGGATTATTGTCCCCGGCCGGCGAACTTTCGAGGTTACCGGTTGATAATCGTATGTTTACTTACCATGCATTAAAGGATTTTTTTAATCATTCGATTATATTTACTAAGCATTTGGGCTGTATTTAGCAGTTCCTGGTCGCAAACCGTAAATAAAAAAAATGAGGTAATTTATTACTATTTTACGAATCTTATCACGGCTGATTTTCTTGTTAAACTCGTTAATCTCTTGTTTTCTTGTTAAACTCTTGTTAAACTGTGAGGTCGTGATACTTACACGGACGGACCTCTGTAAAATATTTGTGGGTAGATGTTATAATTACATACCCTTAAATTTTTGTTATTTACTTGTGTTGCGTACGCCGGTGGCGTACATGTTTAAATATTGTTAGCGCAAACGTGCTATTGATTTATACAGTTCGAATTAGCGTAAGAGTAGGATCTGCGTCAAAACGGTCACAAGCTGGTGCAGACATGTCGCTCGTCTTGCCACTGAGATTGGAGGGCAATATATAAACGTAGTTGACGACGAATCAACATAAATCAATTCACGTTTATTGCGCTCAGCTCGTGCCAAGTCTCAACTTCCTTACAACATGTATATTTTGTCATGCTTCCAAAACGAAATTGAATATGTATTTTTTCGGTTCATCGCAGATGAGCCATTTCCCGAGAGTGGAGCAGAATAAGCTTCAAACTTTTCAAGTGTTGTAATTTATCGTCATTATGTTTTAAAACGCCTGTAAATTATGTGTTCTCCAGACTAATATTTCGTCTGTTATAGTGTACAAAAGAACAAAGTAGAGTTTAACCTCGGCTCACGTTGAAATATAGGGTACCATAATAGTTGATTACGTTTTCACCGCAGAGCGGATTAATGAAGTTTGATTTAAGAATGATGATTAATCATTGAATAGATTTCAATTGATTACTTGCCAGTTGATTGGGGCTATACACAGTAGTTATGCCTTGTCAAAAAACATGTAAAGTCGATTTAAGCGATGAATGGATTATAATTACTCAAACATTGGCACCGGCCACTTTGATTCGGCGGGCTCGATTTAGATTTTGCCGCACTGCCAACTCACGAGCGATCGGCGTCCAATTATCGCGCGCATACGTGCAAAGAGCCGAGAAAGATTGACAGGAGTGTTACGTGTCCACTGTGCCGTGCAAACGGGAACAAAAAAGCATCGTCGAGCACTTCCTGCGCAGCGAATTAGCCGCCGAGAGTTGTTGCGTGTGGACATCGCGTGGCCGCTGTGCGTTTTGGGCAATTTCTCTCGGGGGCCCATCGCCCGGGGTTGTGCACCTGCGGGCCGAGCGCGTTTCATTCATGAGGCCGCCGGCCGGAGAACGATCCGCGTCGAATAATGACAGTTGGCTTTTCTCGGAAACCGCGCCGGAGGCTTCGGTGGGAGAGCTTCCGTCCCGCTCGCAAGCAGGCGAGCGAGCGAGAGCGACGGGGCGGGGCGATCGTGTTATGTCACGGCGCACTAGAGCCGTCCGGGCCGGAGGCGCGCGATGCACTCGCAGTCGCTGCACCCTCCACGCTTCCCGAACCTTCGCTACAGTCTCTGGCGATCGCGAGATCGACGCAACTTTGTATCGCTCAATGAGGGGCACCGTTGAATGCAGAGCGGAAAATCGCGGAGGCCTAATTGCGTCGAACGAGCGGTAATTGGCTCATTTGCCCTCTGCAAAAACCCTGTCGACGAGGCGGCGGGGATTCGTTTCAAAACGGCGGATTTTATTAAGCGCGGCGACGCTCGTAATTCACATTTTACAGGCGTCGTTAAGCGCGGCCGCCGTTGGTTGGAGCGCGTAGGGCTAAAACGGTACATTGCACGTTGTCACGGGTGCAGGCTTGCGTTTTCCCGCGTCCGGGTCAAAGCGCGCGGTTGAACGACAGCACGCACAGCTGCCCCCGGGAATAACGTTCGATATGATCATTCAATCCTTACTAATATTATAAAGGCGAAAGTTTGTATGTATGGATGGATGTTTGTTACTCTTTCATATAAAAATTACTGAATAGATTTTGAGGAAACTACAATAACATAGCTTATACATCAGAATAACACATAGCCTATAATATATAAAGATATTGTCTGAATTGTCCAAAATAAAGGTAATATAAGTGTTGACTAAGTAGGAAAAAATTCAGGCATCTGTGAGATATTCTGATGTATAATAAAAAACTCATTGTTAATTCCCGTTGGCCCGTTAATTGGTGAAGCCGCGGATAACAGCTAGTAAGGACCGTAATTTTGTTTTACCGCAAAGTTTCCGTCAAGTAATAAATAGCATGCAAATAATGGTTAACTATAGGCGCTATAAGGCAAATAAGTCATATATTCGAAAATTTTAAAAAGATTTACAAATAAAATAAATCTCCAATTTTACTTCTAAATATATTTTGCCGAGTTAGTGCATTTTCCACCAACGGCGACATCGACTCTTTCCAACATTTGGGATTGGTGGAATTGGTTTGGAATGCTTGACTGCATTAGCCAGTCCGCAATAACTGAATAGAGAAATCCGTTAAAAGCAATAAACCTAAGCAAAGGCGATTTGTTAAAACACACCGATGACAAACAAAACAATCTACTATCACTATAATGACACTGATCTCCTACGTCGGGGAGACATATAACTCACAAAGGCGGTCTGTACCGCATCTATCGCCAATGGATAATTGCCTGATCAATAAGGTTCACTACAAACGGACGGGCAACAAGTCGCGCACACGCTGAATTGCTGTCGATTTGTTTTGCCAACTACAACTCGAAACATTGAAGACTACATGACCCAATCTTTCTCGCATGCGTAGCCTAAAATTATGTTATAATAGTTAAATAAGTATAACTTACGTGTTACAATTTAAGTTATATAAATTGATAATACAATTAACTAATAACAGTCAATATTTTGATCTGTAAACATCAAATCTCTTTCTTCAGACATTGTCTTTAAATCTAAATTAAGTCTTATTTAAATGATTTTAGGAATAGGTTCTGTAGTTTTGAAAATTTTGCATGACATACAAACGAACAGAGAAGTATTAATTTATTTATAAGATTGATATTGCGGTTTATTTGAAATGTTAAACATATTGCTTCAAATATTTAAACGAATAGGATACTCGGTGAAGACAAACAGTATTTTACGGATTTGACAACTTGTAAAAATTCTCAATAAATTTTTAATTTCCCTTTAAAAACGTAAGTAACGTTTAAGTGTTAAGGTTCTGTTTACTAACAGACAGATGTAGTTTGCAGTTTACGTTATGTAATAAAAAACGAATTCGTGAGTAAAGGTTAGACAAACTCACAATAACAAAACAATAGTTTGAATCATTATCGATAGACATTTATCAGTACGACGAGTAATATTATTTGATCCACATGATATTCACGGTTATACGGTTCACCCGATGTTAAGTGATTACCCCTGATTATGATTAGTGAGGGAGGGCTCCGGTTGCTGCACTCACCATATATATATATATATATATATATATATATATATATATATATATATATATACTACCGTTCGAGTAAAAGCACTCTAGCTATTGAATGTTCTTATAACAGTTAATAATATTGTTACACAGTAAGTACTGTTTCAATAAAACACCCAATTTGGGTCATTGACCGGGTGCTCGTTTTTTTTAAGGAAGATTCAGTCTTTATTTAGGCAATTATTAGCTGGATCAACCAAAACGTATACAACGGTACTGCGAGTAGAAAAATGACGCTTTTAGCGTTCCACTGAACCAATTTCGATTTGCATTTAGATCGCAGTTAAATGACACCGTTACCATTAGTTTAGTATCGGTAAAGAATCACCTTACTCGATCACGTGTCAACTTTACGAGCTTTCTCCGATATTTCAAGCACGAAGAAAAACTCATTGTTTAATGTTTATGTTTGTAAAAATTTGGGGCGCACTAAGACAAGTCCATTTTTTTTAACAAACAAAACCAACTTTAAGTATCTCGCTCTGTATTCATTTTATGATTTTCAAGAGTTCCCTATGCATCTCCGGTGCCCAAAATCCAATACTAATGAAATTAATATGGGACTACACGGAAAGCACCAGCTTTCAAATGAAAAAAGAATCGTCAAAATCAGTTCACTCAGTCGACAGTTCTGACGTAACAAACATAAAAAAAAAAATACAGTCCAATTGAGAACCTCCTCCTTTATTAGTGTCGGTTAAAAACTGAAGAAGAGAGCCTATTCTGTTCTGAAAGGACATAAAATCTATCTCTTGTTAGGCATTAACGGAGTTAGGTAGTAAAGTGTCCATAGGTCCACTCATAATCGAATGATGTATTCCACCTCTACCACACACCTCTAAACTTCTAGCGAGTGTTTCATATAAAACTTTATTTCCATATTCCTCCTTAATTGCTCGTTACGCACGTAATATGGTAATTCGTATTGAATAAATAAAATTAAAATTCTTCTAACACAATTATTTTTATGATCGTGCATTCACGGTCCCCACATTAATTACAAGTTTCACGTTGAACCGTTAAAACAAGAAAAATTTATATTGGTCCATATAAAAGCGTAAATACGTTCCAAGGAATGTGATATCTTGGGCTTTGAATATTTACTTTATACACATATTTTTTTTATTTAAATAATTTTCCATTGTGTGGTACAGAGCTATTTACTAATGCAATGTTTTGTCAGATTACAAGTTTCGTGAACATCGATTCTAGCATGTTTAAAAAAAGTTGTTCGACAGCTTTATTAAATCTATGTCTGATTCTCACAAATTCTCACAATTACCGATTCTCTATGAGTCATCACCGAAACGCACACGCATATAAATGCAAAATTCTGGAATAACAACCTTATAAAGATTGAGCCGCTAATTTTTCCGCTTAAACTAATGCGCTTGTTGATAAAAAGAATAATATACAATTATTTTATATATTGTTGGTGTTATATTATTAAACACTTATCATTTATATAACGTTTGATAGACCTCTGTGTGTATTAAGAATGATAATGTCTGTAATTTCAAAATAAATGGCAAAATTGAGTGAAAAGTGCTATTTATAAAAAAACTAATCTGTCTGTCTGTGTACTCATAAACAACGGATATATTCCGAGAAATTTATAGTTAAAACAATAATATCAACTTAACGTGTACATTTCGAAGTCATGCAAGGTTTAGAAGATAGGTACCATTATTAAATTTAAATTTTAATATAATTCTTTTACTACTTCGAGATTCGGCTTCAGCATAGAAAACACAAATGAATGTATAGAACCGTAAGTACAAAACGATAAATACGGGATTTAAAAAGAAAACCGTACTAACAATGGTAACGATACCAAATTGTTAAAGTACATAGAAGTTCCTTCCCGTACCATTTTAATGATATTGTTCACGTAAAAAAAAACACTGGATATTTCTCACGACTTCGTGAAACAACGAATTTCCATATACTCTATATAATAAAATAAAATCAAATAGATTTTTAAAATGAGAAGGGAGGTTTTAATGAGAACCCTTAACATTAGCCGATGAGACATAAAATGCATTTCATTTATATTTTTTTTGCCAAAAGATTTCAATGTTGTGTTTTTGTAACGGAACGGAAAAATAAATTTCAACAAAACTGCAGAGCAAATACTCAACCACCAGCTTTTGATGTTTGTGTTATAATCGTCGATCAAATATAATTTGGCAAAAGTAGAAATATTTTTTACACCGCCAGGACAGGGTGTGCCAGTGTGCATTCATGGGACAGCAGAAGATTGTGTAGCTCTACCTCAGATGTAGTTGTGGATAAGGCGAAATAATTAAGATGTACAAAACATTGACACAATCACACGATAATTTCTTCTTAAATACGATGCGACAACAATTAGTTCTAATTAAAGGAAACGTAATAATTTATATACTAATATAAAGACTACCCCATAAACGAAGTAACAATCGGCGTAGTGAACATGATTCTTGCTTCAGAAGGTGAGGGTTAGAACCCCAAAACTAGAAAAAAAAATTTTCTGATCAACGTAGTGTTTTTAGTGTTTAGATGTTTAAGTATGTTCATCAGTTACCTAGTATACAATTTGCAGTGTAAAGTTTTGTAAAAATAAATCCTAATCTTTGTTTACATCAAACAGTTTGATGCATTTGATACATTTCCATACAAGGCGATGGGGATATAAATAGTTTTAGAAGTTTATGTTTACAATAAATCACTTTTGTTATAAATTGGGAAAACCAAATAAGGACATTAACAGTTTGCGTGGGTTGGCTGGATATTGGGCTGAATAACCTATTCGACTTGATTTGAATTTAGAAAGGAAAACTTGTTACAAATATTTTTGTCGCATTAAGATATGACGTGGAAAATATAGCTAAATGATTGTCTTCTTTACATCATAATAACCGCATACCATTATTTGACTTCTCCCCGTGTTATTGTAAATTTATATCATCTGTGGTGATGAAACATTCTTACAAAATGTAGTGATGTGTACTTCTATTTAAACGGTGTTAGCGTATATAATTTAATTTCTTTTATTTTTGCACGTGTTCACCACTTAATCAGGTCTGTGGCCATCGCGTGTAAACAGGATTAGTTCCGCTCGTAAATAAATTCGCCGTAATCAATGCTACATTGAGAACCAGCAACGATATGTAAAGATCAAAAGTCACGCAACTGGCCGGACCGATTGCATTTCCGTAGAGCATCGATATCACAAAAGTGATGCGCGGTAAGTGAAGTAAAATAAAGCGATAAGATTAACACGTGCTTACTGAATGTTGCCCGATGATAACATCTCTGTTTCGCGAAAAGACCATTAAGCCTGCAACCAATGTTTGTAGAAAAATATGTAATCTAAGATTATATGGGCGTATGTTATGACATGTTAAATAAACCTATCACTAACACGAAACGGGGCATTGCGAGACTAATGGATTTGGAACAATTTTTAATACGTCTTATTTTTATTTTTAATATAAGTTTATTATATATTTATCTATAATTATTAATATTTTTTTATCCAATTACCAGTCCGAAACCATTAGGAATGCAGCAGATAAACATTAATTATATAATTATTATTAATTACATTGCAATATGTCATTAAATGGAAAAATTTACAAAAATTATAATTCACAATCAAGTTGAAAAGGTAATAAAAAGCGATCAATTAGCCATAAAATTCCCGTGTGTATCATTTGTGCATTGTAACAGCAATTGTTTCTGCACATGGTTAATTATTTTGTAAAACAAAAGCGTTTTTGCCGCATTGAAAGTAAAACCTTCAAGTTATAAAACTAAGCAAAACTTCCGGACCAAATGTGCAACCGATATATGTGACCTCCACAAATTGCCTTAACGAAAGGTGCTATCATAACTTTTTTGTTGCGCAGAAATGATAAACAGATAACGAAGAATAATTAAGACAGATAGCGCATTTAGTAGTAAGATTACGTAATGCTACTACCGTTGTAATGATAAGGGTTTTGTCGTAACAAGACGATTAAAATATTCTTCCTATAAAAATGTTCGAAACAATGCAAGATGTCACATTCACATTCAGTGGCCTGCTAAATAATATAATTGATTAAACTCTACATCTATAAAATAGAATAAATGGCTATGAAATACCTATGTAATATGTTTTGAAAAGATATC